TGGCTTTCCTTTAGGAATTAGAATCATTGAATCACGGAATGGATTGGTTGGAAGGACCTTAAAGTTCATTTTGTTCCATGCCCTGCCATGGGCAGGAACACCTTCCACTGTCCCAGGTTGCTCCAAGCCCTGTCCAGTCTGGCCTTGGACAATTCCAGGGATCCAGAGGCAGCCACAGCTCCTCTGGGCAATTCTCTCACTGCAAATCATACCACATCTTAGAAAGGCACCATGCCATGGGAAATTCTCTTTTTTTAATAAAAAATACATATAGAGAGATCTACTCTAAAAGGGGTGAATTAAAGCTGAATGAATAACCTCTTGCAGGTATCTCTACATCTAAGAATACCCTCTGCTTTTTAAAGCTTGTTCTCTTTTTAAACATTCCCCACTGAAATAGCTGCTCATCCCTGACACAGCACTAATTTTAGCTGACCTGTTCTCTTTACATTTCGTGCCTTGCCACTGAACTGCAATAAAGCACATTACAGCATTTTAAATTCTCTGATTTACATTTCTACTACAGCCAGTTGTAGCTCTGCACTACTATGTTACTTTAAATAGATACTTATGATTGCATTTCAGTGTAGTCTAACGAGCATAAAAATCAGGGAGAACACTTCATTATTAAAAATAGCTTTTTGGAAGCTCAGCTGCACTGTTGGTGGTTTTTTGAGGCACGTTAGAAATCACATGTGTGTTTAACACTGGAAATATCTAAAGCAAGTGGTGTAATAAGCTTCACAGGAGCATCCGGAGAATCCCACAATGGTTAAACCTTTCTCTGCAGCTTTGTTCAGGTCATGGGCTCACTCCTGATTTAGTAACAGATAGTACTGGAAATAGAAACGCCATTAACTTGTTTCCTAAGGCAGGGGATGGATTTCAGCAGTGTTACAGCACTCCAGGCTATTTTTAGAGCCAGTGTGGAGGAGTTCTCACGGCTTGAATGTTAATAGGCACAACACACAAAGCCAGGCTGGCTGGGGTAGGACAGAGCACTGCAAAGGAACCCCCGGAGGATAAAGAGCTTCTCATGGCAGGAGGAGCAGGGAAAGCAAAACGTGCAGGTCACAGCCCAGCACTGCAGCACTGCCACCATGTAGCCTGAGAAAACCAGGAGAGAGGACAGAGCATACTTTCCCTGGAGTTGCTGCAATAAAGGCTCCTCAGCATCCAAGAGCAATGAATGGCTCCAGCAATGCGGAGAGTAAAACATGGTCATTAACCAGCTATGGGATGTTTTGACTTTCCTTCTCAAGTTTATACAAGTGGAGAGTTGGTGTGGCTGCTGTTTCATTAAATCTGCTTGGAGTTGGAGTTCAGAGCACAGGGAACCTGCCCTTGGAAGCAATGCCTTGTCCTCCCAGAGAGGTAGCTCCATGTTCTGATACATGACACAGGGATGAACTGACTTAACACAACCAAGAACCAGCTCCTTGTTTTTCTGTGCTCATTATTGCCTGGAACTTGGGAAAACACCAAATTCCCTCATGAGGAAAGTCATCTTTTTTTTTATATTCTCCGCAGAACGAAATGATCAGACGGAGCAGGAAGAAAGAAGGGAAATCAAACAGAGACTGACAAGAAAGGTAAAAACTTGCAATACCTGCTATTAGCTTGTAGAAATTACCTAACAGAAATTTTAGAAATTAGCAAAGCTACTGTAACATCAACCAGTCATTATTACACAGAACCTCCCTTAATATACAACCTCCTCAGCAGTGTCTCACAGTGTTGAGTAACAGGAATTATAAAAATCCCTACCTTTTCTCAGCTCCATGAGACTTAGTAGAATACTTATGTATAAACCGTAAGTCAGAATATATTGGGTATATATTGCTAGAAAAGGACATTTTCATTCATTGGAGCAGTAGCTGGCAGAGCTGAGTCCCTGCTGAGCCCCAGGTGTGCTCCAGCAGAACATTCCTCTTTGCTTTTGAAGTATTCCCAGAACTAGTTGTTGTTGTTCTGTTCCTGGGAATCCCTACGGGAATTGTAAAGCAAACACGCCGATAACTCGCGAAAGCCAAACTGAAATTCTTACAGTGGATCCAGCCATGAGAATCTCACCCAGACAACCTGCCTCTGCCTGTAGAACACCCCAACAGCATCCAGTGTCATCCAGAGAACTTACCAAATCCACCAGGATTCCTTTACATTTTGCAAGTGCATTTGATTGGTAGCCAGGTTAAAATATTTTCTTTTGTCCATTCTAAAGGCACTGTGCTGCAGCCCATTTAAACCATTACTACTCTGCTAATGGGCCTCCAAATGATTAATATTCCCTGAAATTTCCAAGGGTTGGGTGGTTTTCCCTCCACATAAATGCACACTAAGGTAAGAAGCAGAAAAATCGCATATTTTACTGATACCTTTGTTATTAACCCTGGTTTTATTTTTCAAAATGACTGAATACAGCTTAACCAGAGACCTACAGTCGATGAACTGAGAGACAGAAAAATCCTGATTCGATTCAGTGATTATGTGGAAGTGGCAAAGGCACAGGACTACGACAGGAGAGCAGACAAACCATGGACACGACTCTCAGCAGCAGACAAGGTACTGCCAGAGCTAAAATCACACACAACTGCTTTCTCCTTGCTTTGTCTGGAATGATACATCAAGTTCTGCAATGACATTTAACCACTGGGACATTTAATCTCTGTACAGTTCACCATGATTTTCTATGCTGAGATCACACTGACCAATGCATCCTGTCAGGAAAAATGCTATTGATAAAAATGCCTATTTAGTGCTGGAAGGGCTTCTGCCCAGCCCACCCAAAAAGTGGATATAATCATTGGGCTCCAACTCAAAACCATTTCCAGCCAATATAACATTAACATTTCTTCTCAGACTGGAAGTTTTGTCCCAGACACGCAAATATTCTCTGCTATGTTTCTAAACATGCAAAGATTTCCTCTCCTCTTCCCTATGAATGTTCAAGGAGTCACTTGACCCACATTCTCAGGAGCACAAACACTCAGTTTGTGTCACATACCTGCCACTCACTGATTTCCATCCCAGTCAAACTGTCACATTTAGGTCCTTGAGCAGTAAGAGCAGTTCAGCTCTAGATTCCAGCTGGAAGTGCTGCTGGATAAGCTGGGAGGTTTCAGGGCTGCAGGAAGCAGGAGGAGCAGGGAGCTGAGATGTACTGGCAAAATGGCAAACACAGGACTGTTACTCGTGGTTTTGTTCTGAGATGTGGAGCTCAAACCCTTCAGTCTCCATCCTCAGTAAAAAAAACAAATGGGTTCAGAGGACTCATGGAAAAGGAACAGAGCATTTCTCCTCCAGCAGCTCTTCTCCTGAGCAAAATGGTGAATATTCTATAGTAATCAATAAATAATGATTTTGTATTTTCCTTGTAGGTACTCAGCTTTTGTTAAAATTAGGCTTTTCCTAGTTTCAATTATTGCTAACAAGGCAGGTTCATAAGCAAAACCAAAATGACAGTTCAACTGCATGTGCTGGTGGCTCCCATCGGGGAGTCAGGGTCAGGAGCTGGACTGGAAAAAGGATCAATTGCTTGGCAACTCCTGTTAGTCTTTAATAAATTTTAAGTGGAATCTTATTAAATGTGAGACAATAAGCCCTGGGGTGTTATTCTGTCAGAAGTGCTTCTAGACAGCAGTGGCCCTGTCAGCAATCAATAATGAATGAGAAGGGCTGTGTCACCAATCCATAGAACCTAAATATTCTGTGTCTCTGCCAGCACAGTGGGCTCTGCTATACCCAATACCTGTTATTTCTACTATAGAAAACTGTTCTGCAAGTCTGGCATTTTGCAGTGCTCACAAATATAAAATTACTTTTAATATATAATTCTTTGTTTTTCTATTTTCGATCCCCAGGCAGCAATTCGGAAAGAGCTGAATGAGTACAAAAGCAATGAAATGGAGGTACATGCATCCAGCAAACATTTGACAAGGTCAGTTTTCCTTTTTTACTTCCATTGCCTGCTAAAAACAGTCTCTTGAGTCTTGAATCTGTACATTTTATTCTTACATGATGTGGGAGAAGAATATGCAAAGGGCCCTTTGTTTTAAAAGAAAATGGAAGTATTTCTCTTCCTGTTCAGAATTTGGATTTTCTGATTTTGTTGGGGCTTTTAATAGCATGTACCCAGCAGACCTTCTCCAGAGCATCCCTCAGCCAGCATTCCTTGCACCAAAGATCCAAAAGATAGGACCAAAAATTAAATGTAGGGTAAAATGTACAAAACGAATTTTTTGAAGCAGAAGAACAACTTAATACACCGTATAAAGGTCTCTGAATTAAATGTACTTTAGTCTGCAGCATTATCACAAACACTGCAGCTTGCCTGCTAAGAAATATAAAATTCTACCTGCAGTAACAAACACACCTAATGCCCCTGGGTAATACACTTGTGCTAATTGGATTTGTTCTAATGGATTCAGCCTGGGGATTTCAGGATCCCCTGTCAGGCCACTTGCTCTTGGAAGGAGTTGCAACCCCCCAGAGAACTTCTTGGCAGTCAGGTGAGGACTGGAGCAGGTCAGGAGAGGGAACAAATTTGGAATAGTCACCCTCTGTCACATTCCCAGGCTTATTTCTGAACTCACAATGAATTCCAGCTTAACTGAGCTCAGGCTGGTCAATGAGCAGATGGTCCAGGCAAACACACTTCAGCTGTAAAAGCAATGTACAATGTGATATTTATATAATTCCAGACTGTTCCTGCAATTTAAGGCCCTTTTAACATGACAGAACTCAGTGTTTAGGGCAAAAATCATCACTGCACTGCTGGAATGAAATATGGGAGGGGAAAAGGGGATGGCTCAGTGTCAGTCTGAGAGTGACATCTACATTCTCCAACTGAAGCTACCTGGGGAGTTTAGGCAGATGATAATGATAGATTTGGAAATTTGTTCAGGATACTAGGAATAAACAGGCTTACAATTTATAGTTAGTGCTAAGGCATTTCAAATGACTGGAACTTTAATTGTGTATCTCAGCCTAAAGAACAAGCCTACAGAGCAAGAGAATATTTATTCCAGACTCATAATCACACATTCCACCAACAGTAGCTCCTCAGACTTTATGAAACATCAGATCAACATTGTTAGCTCTTATAAAAGGACAAAATCACCACACAATAAAGAATACTGGCCCCAGTGACAACCTGTGGCTTCATTTGCTAACCTCAAATCAACCCCACACCTGTATTTGCATTTGCACTCCCAAACTGCTGTAACTGGTTAAACTGGGCCCTGAGGATTGTCCCTGCACTACAGTCCTGGCACATGGTGAAAATGAAGACTTAGAGGGGCTGATATTCTTCAACACTGTTACTGTACCTTTAAACAGAACAAATAGTTTTATGGGGTTTTTAAATTTTGTTAATCTAACAGAGAATTGAACTACCTTTTGTTTGATGAATGTCTCTCATGTCTCCCAGATTTCACAGGCCATAGAAATTTTCTTCTGAGAAGAATCTGTCTTTACTTTTTGATATTGCTGCTGAACACGCATCAGGGAATATCTGAGTCTTTCCCTCAAGTTCAGAGCAGGATCCCTTGGTGTTTGTGTGAAGGAAGGACTCTGAGCTGAGGTCTCTGCAGCACTTATGGACAGAGAGCCCAGGGCTGCCCCTCGCTCTGGAGGCAGGAGAGCCACGGCCTGGGATTGGGATGAGCTGCTGACAAAGACTGAAGCAAATCTACTTGGAAGAGCCTCCTACTCTCCTTTCACACTTGTTTGGAACTGTTTTGCAGCCTGTCTTGGAAGAGGAGATGTTGTGCATGTACAGGCTTTACCATTCCAAGGCCTCTGACATAAATGGACATGACACACTGTCATCCAGTATTATGTTGACGAGACATTTTGAACTTGCCACAATTAGTTTGTAAAACACTTCAGTTCATGTTCTAAAAACTAATTTAATGTATTATAATTTCATTCTTTTTTATATAATGTCTAACAGAATCACAGCTGCAAGCATTTTTGATTCCTGTTACTTTTGTTCTTTAATTAAATGACTACTTATTGCAGGAAATGAACATGTTTCCTAAAGCTCTTTTTTTCCCAGGGACAGTTGGGAAGGGAAGAGATTATAATTATTCTGCACCAGACCATTGCACTTCTTCATCAACATGAAGTCTGCAAAAAGAAGATCCCAACTAAGGTTTTTCCATCTCATGGAATAGCAGAACCTGATTGTCATCCTCCACTACCTGAGGCTCTGACCCTCTAAAGAATGACAATTAAGTTCACTGTTATTCTCATTCAAAATCACTAAATTGGACAAGCACAGGTAGAAATGTAACAATGTACTTTGATGTTTGGCAAACAAATGATTTTAATGCTTTCTTGACAGTAAGAAGAAAAAAGTTACTAAGTGCTAATAACAAAGCAGATAGAACTGGCTGAGAAAAATGTAAAGCCAGACATTCTAATAATGCCTGACATGGAGGAGCAGCTGAGAATTTACTCAAATTACTACTAAAAAATAAAACACAGCTGGAAAACACACCTGAGACAAGAACAAAATGGTGAATGAATACACTCCCAAACATTTCTCTGCAAGACTCTTCAGTGCTATAACTTTAGGGAGTCATTCAGTGTTAAAAACCTGAGAAAGGC